ATCCCCGGGGTCTCTGGGGCCGCACCCTCTCCCCGGTGCCGCGGCGCGCGAGCCCCCTCCCAGGCACCCCGTGCCTCTCTGCGCTCTACATACTGGGAGTTTCCGCCTCGGCTCCCCCAGGTCCCCTTGTCATCCCCTGGGTTCCCCCAGATCCTCACCCCTCCACACGCACACTCCCCCCTTCGTAGAGGTTCCACCTCTGGGCTCTCCCCTTGCCAGCTCCTTTTCACGTTCAAAGGCTCCCCCTGCTCTCTTCCCCTGGGCTCCCGACCCCTCCGTTCCCCGTGGGCCCCTCCTCCTCTTGATCCGGCGGGAACACTGCCCCGACTTGGGGACCGGGTCCCCGGCTAGGCTCTGGGGCCTGTCTGGGCTGGGGTCCCCGGGAAGACCGGTCCTGGGTCTGAGGCCCTGCAGTCTGCTACGTCCTGTGCATCCAGATGGGCCTCGGGTCAGATCTGATGAGTCCGGCCGCCCGCTGTGGGGGAGCTGGAGACCCCGCAGAGTTGGCTCCCAGGCTGGAGGCACATCGCCCCGGGTCCCTGCGGCTCATGATGATTCTGCCCCTTTGGTTGACGGCTTCTTCCCCTTGATCTGGACTGGAATGAACCGAGATGGGGCTGGTCCCCGCTGATGCAACTGCTGCCTTTTTTGGAAAGGAAGAGGATGGTTGGGGGTGTGTGGCAGCCTCCCCCTGGTAGGGACTTGACTGAAAGGGTGGGGCCGCCCCTCGGTGACCACAGTCCCCTGACCTACCTCCTCCCCGCCTTACCCCAGGGAGCCTTTTGAGGATGCGGAGGGAGAGAGCTTGGTGAGGGGAAGGGAATGTGGGCCTAAAGTGTGGAGGAAGGACTTGGAGGAGCGGAAAGCCTCCCAGGAGCCTCTCTCGCCTTTCCAATCAGGACCCCCTATAGCCCCTGCCACACTGTGTCCTGCCCTCTGAGCAGACGGACTGCCTGGCAGACAGACAGACCGGAGGCAGACAGGGGAGGCCTGTTGTTCATGACACTTCCTGTGTAGGAGATTGAGGAGTGGGAGTTTGTTCAGAGGGACGGGGCAGTGCCCATAGCTCATTCACGTTGGCGTTGCCTTTGTGAAGGTCAAGTCTTCCTCCGGCTCACAGGGGAGGCAAGGGCAGATGACTTGTGCGGGAGGGCTGGCTTTGGGAAGATGCTGGGCGCGAATGACATGATGTCTGCCTCCCTGTGTTCCCGGGTTTTTTAGAGGCTCTTTGGGGTTGGGTCTAGTGCCCCTCTGCCTTCCGGGGGCTGGGGGCACAGAGCAGGGGCTGAGACCTTCTTGGTTGACGGCTTCTTCCCCTTGATCTGGACTGGAATGAACCGAGATGGGGCTGGTCCCCGCTGATGCAACTGCTGCCTTTTTTGGAAAGGAAGAGGATGGTTGGGGGTGTGTGGCAGCCTCCCCCTGGTAGGGACTTGACTGAAAGGGTGGGGCCGCCCCTCGGTGACCACAGTCCCCTGACCTATCTCTTCCCCGCCCTACCCCAGGGAGCCTTTTGAGGATGCGGAGGGAGAGAGCTTGGTGAGGGGAAGGGAATGTGGGCCTAAAGTGTGGAGGAAGGACTTGGAGGAGCGGAAAGCCTCCCAGGAGCCTCTCTCGCCTTTCCAATCAGGACCCCCTATAGCCCCTGCCACACTGTGTCCTGCCCTCTGAGCAGACGGACTGCCTGGCAGACAGACAGACCGGAGGCAGACAGGGGAGGCCTGTTGTTCATGACACTTCCTGTGGAGGAGATGGAGGAGTGGGAGTTTGTTCAGAGGGACAGGGCAGTGCCCATAGCTCACTCATGTTGGCGTTGCCTTTGTGAAGGTCAAGTCTTCCTCTGGCTCACAGGGGAGGCAAGGGCAGATGACTTGTGCGGGAGGGCTGGCTTTGGGAAGATGCTGGGCGCGAATGACATGATGTCTGCCTCCCTGTGTTCCCGGCTTTAGAGGCTCTTTGGGGTTGGGTCTAGTGCCCCTCTGCCTTCCGGGGGCTGGGGGCACAGAGCAGGGGCTGAAGACATCTTCGTGACTCCCCTTGGAACGCAACCAGGCGCTTTTGTACTCCATCCCTTTGGCATGCCCACAAGGAAGCGTTTCCTCTGCAGACTTGGAGTGGCCTTGCTGGGCAGTGGGGCTCCTGAGGTTTAACCCTAATAGGTCAGGACTCGGGGACATGGCTGGGCACTGGGCTGCCGCCTGGACCTCGCTGGTAGGAGTTGGAGAGAAGGAATCAGTTTGATTCCTGGCTCCTGAGAGTGGAGGTGACCCTGAGTGGGGACACGGAGGCATAGGCAGGAGGTCTACGACCTCCTGAGGAGTCAGGTGGGATGGATGTGGCACCCGGGAGCCCAGCACACTCTCTCCATCCCTGGCTCATTCATTCACTCACGCAGCCATCCTTCAGGAAGTGCCTGGCCTGGTCCGGGAGTGGTGCAAGGAGAGCACGGTTCCTGGCCTGGTCTGAGCTGCAGTCACGGAAGAGAGGCAGACAGGAAAACATCGCTGCAGCTTAATAATAGAAATGTGACGGAGGCCGCCCGGAGGAAAGAGGCATTAGCTCCGGGTGAATATGCAGGGTTGGTCACTGTGTTTCCTAGAGGAGGAAGGAGTGGAAGAGTCGGTTACGAGGAGTCCAGGGGCTGGAGTTCTAGTCCCGATCTGCCCCAGGCTAGTGACTGGACTGCGTAGTGTGCATCCCATCCTTGCCGAGGAGGCAGGGCGGGGGTAGAGGCTGGCTTAGATGGCCTCTGGCTTCTGCCTCGTGCTTCTCTAGGTGCTTCCCTGCCTAGCTGCCATCACCAGATGTGGGATTACTGACTTACCGTCTCCCCGGGGGGCTGGAGAGACCATCCTCTGCTTCTGTCCTCCAGCACAGTGCCTAGCACTGAGTAGGGGATAAGTGCTCATGGCATACATGGTTGAAAGGCTCCACAATCCCTCCTAGCACCCTTCAAGCTACTTTGTCTGCACTCCCCCCGCCTCCTGCCTGCTAACTCCTGCTTGTCCTCTGGCTTTCCCTGATGGCTGGGCCACACTCCCAGCTCCGGCGGATGTAGACGCTCCCCTACCCCTGTTGCTGTCTGAGTACACTCTCCCCACCCTGCTAACTTGTCTTGTTCATTCTCGTGAACATTTCTGAGCAGAGTGCTGGCATGTAGTAGATGCTCACTGAATGCTTCTTGACTAATAGATAATGGTTGAGCCTTGTGTTTGAGTTGAAATCATGTGTCTTTGCCTGGGTCTGGCTCACCCCGTAATAGCTCACCTCTCTCCACATCCCACTTCCAGCCCTGGGTCTAGCCAGGTTGACCACTCAGCCTTCTCTAGATGCCATGTTCTTCCCCCTCTAGGCAAACCAGTGCTGTTCCTCCCGCCTGGAATGTTCTTTCTCCAACTCCTACTCTTCCTCAGCAGTCAACTCAGACAACACCTTTTCCAGGGAGCCTGCCCTGACCCCGTCAGTGTGGGTCTCGGGTGTCCTCATGCTCCCATCGCTTCCTGTGGAGGAGGGGGAGTTTGTTCAGAGGGTCTGGGTTCCCCGCAGCAGGGCCCTGGGCTCTCAACAGCCACTGGTAACTGTCGACTTGGCATCTCCCCACTAGACTGTCTGATTCCCTCTTGTCACCCCAGAGCCCAGCTGAGGGCCTGGCACCAAACAGGCACTCAGAAAGTGTTGGCAGCACAGCAGGTAACGCTGATAGTCACACACATCCCTGCTGACAGCAGCTCTTGCTTCCTCGCAGGGAGGCAGCTTCCATGGAGCGAAAGAAATGCCAGGACCCTGCCCAGACAGAAGCGGGCCAGCCTCAGCACCGACAGCCAGCACGCAGATAGCAGAGCCGTCCCCGGGGTAAGGACTGGGCCCCTCTCCCTGCAGGCCAGCGCGGCCTCCGCTCAGGTGCCTTCCCCGGCCTGGGGAGCAAAGGGCAGTATCTCCTCCTCTCTGCAGTCCTTTGCTCTTCTCACTGTGGGTCCCGGGCGTCTAGGGCAGAGGTGACAGAGGACAGAATTCTTCCTGCTCCTCCCAGCTCAGTGACCTGCTGAGTAGTACGTGGTTGCTGGCCTCTTCAAACGCCAATGTTCAGTTTCGTTGCCAACCTCTGGTTTTTCTCCTTCAGCCCAGATCTTGTCAGTCTGGCTTGTTGTGGATACTGTCTCATGATCGCATTTCCCAAGGTGTGTTCCGTGGAACGCCAGTTTCTTTGGTCACCGTGGAAAACAACGACTTGTCCTTGCCGCAGGACTTCTCAGAGCCTTGAGTGCATTGACGTGAGCATGATGAGTCTCTGAGAAGGAGCGAGCAAGTCGTGTTTCCCACACTTACTTCATCGTGTGGATGGACCTCTCTGGGGACTAGGGTTCCTTGGCCTACGCTTTGGAAAACAGTTCGTAAAGGTAGGAGAATGCACTGGTCAGGACCAACGCCTTGAAGTCCGACCTGGGTTTGCGTTCAGCTGTCTCCATAAGTGACTGTGGACCGCTGTGAGCCTCAGTTTCCTCGTGGGTAAAAAGGGGTAATATCAGTACCTCACCTCCCTTCAGGATGGTCTGAAGATTAAATATGCTGATACAGGGAAAGGCATTAGCTGAGTGTGTGTCCCAGAGCTCGCTCCCTAAGCACAGCGGTGTGTGCATAGACGGCTCTATGGTTTGGAAAACACACCTTTATCCATGACCTCCTTTGATCATTTGAGGGAGCTCAGACAGTGGTTTCATCCCCTTTTTACAGACATGGAAGCTGAGGCTGAGAGGGAAGAAGCAATTTACCCAAACTCATCAGGAAAGAAGGTAGGGACATGGGACTTGAACCTGATCCTGGAATCCCAGGCCAGTTCCTTAGCTCCGTGCCCCAGGCCTCCCTGATCCACCTCCCACCTCGGCTTTCTGTGAAGGGAGGCCTGGCCCTCCCTAGCCCGGATTTGAAAAGAAATAATAATCTTGTTGTTGTTATTATTTTGTAATTACCAACACAGTTGCATGTTGATTATGTTTTTATAATGCTTTGGTTTTAATGTCATGTGGAAAGTGAAAGTCCCCCGAGGTCCCCCTCCCCAGAAGTGTGAACGGGGAGGGGTATATTCTTCCACATGTATTATTGCTATTGGCTTATTTATCCAAAAGCACGTCCTGTTACAGCTGCTGTTCACCGCCTGCTCTTGCTTCATTAATGGTTACCCCTGGGCCTCGCTCCCAGGCAGGGGGCGGTCTGAGAGTGTGTCCTGTCCGAAGGTCCCGACCCTGTGGTTCTCCCATGCCCATCGCTCCCTTCCCTCTCCATGCGGGGTTCTGAGCAGTGTGTTGGGGCATTGCAGCCGCAGAGGCGGGTGAAAAGTGCCTGGGGTGTGATTTTGTTGACTCTCCTGTTTATTGGGACAAGGTCAGCAAATCTGGGCCTTGCCCTGTAGGAGTTTCCTGTTGGATTTGAGGAACTCTGTCCTGCAGAGAGGGAGGCCTGAGCTAAAGTCTCTGGCCAGCGATGAGCAGGAAGCAGCAGGTCCTGCTTATCTGAGATCAGAATTCCTCCTCGGTGCCAGGGACGGCGTGGAGGGAATAGCATGGGCCGGCCGGGGGGGTTGGCCTTTAGGTTTTGGCCTCCCTGACTGCCTAAGGCAGGGGGGCAGTTGGGAGGTTGAGGGGATACCACGAGTTGTGGCGTTTGCCTGAGTCTGGCCCTGACTCAGTTTACCCTGGCAGCTCCTGGCAGAAACCCTGGTCTTGATGCTCTTGCAATGCTTGTTTCAGGGTTGAACCTTGAGGGTGGGCAGATGAGAAGATGGAGGGGCCGGCGCTGTGGCTTGGGTCTAAGATGCTCTGTTGGGGCGCAGAGACCTCAGGCTGGGTTTGGGCAGGAGGGACTTCGGGCCTGCAGCCTGGTTTTGTGGGACCGGGCGAGTGACTTGGCAGGACCAAGCTGCGGAGGAGATCTGTGCCCGAGGAGTCTCCCTCACGTGGCAGGGTTCTCAGGCTCGTGGCCTGGAGTTGGCCTCTCTGCCTCCTCCGCCCTCCTCCCAGCAGCAGGGCCTTCGGGCCCCGTGGTCGTCCTCCGTGGCCGCGATCTGAGCCCTGGGCACTGTGCTAGGTCATGACACACGTTTGCACCCTCCCTGCCACAGCCACCTGTGGAGGTGGTGTCACCGTTTTACAGGCCAGGGACCAGGGCTGGCAGGGACCAGGGCTCCTGCCCAAAGTTGCCTGAACGGCAAAGCCAGGACCCGAACCTGGTTCTATTTGCCCCGGCAGCCTGCGCTTCCACCCCACCGTCCACTTCTCCTTTTCTCCAGATCCTCAGGTTTGGGGCGGGGGTACCTCAGAGTCTCCTGGGAGCTTGTTGAAAACGCTGGTTCCCCTGCACCCACCGCCCCAGGGACCTGCAGGCAGAGCCTGGGGGCTGGAGCAGGAATCTGTGCTTGGAAGAAGCTCCCAGGCTGTCATGAGGCCGGTGGTCAGGGACCAGGGCGACGCTTTCAGCCCTGGCCCCGCCTCTGGGGACAGAGTCCCGCTGCCTCCAGAGCCGACGCCCTGGGTGTTGAAGCCGGCTGCGCTCCCCTCAGGACCGGGGTGTTAGTGACCTCCCGAATGTGTGTCGGGTGGGGACATTTCACCTCCCTCCTCAAGGATGTGTGGGGCTGCCGTTCCTAGAATAGCTTTCACTGCCAGCCACAGACATCCCTGCTGACTCCCCTGATGCGTTTCTGCTGCATCTCGTAGCAAGTTCTACATTCAGGCCTCTCTTGAGGGCGGAAAACCTCAAAATTAAATAGACAGCCACCATATAGGCTCTGCCCGGAGTGACTGTAAAATTCCACAGCTCTCACGTGCCACCTGGACATCTCAGAGGCGCTGCCAAACTCACGCCCTCTGACAGAGTCGGGGTGTCGGCAGGTGCACTGACAGGGGGTGGGGCAGCCTGGCAATCCATCCTCTCCTTCAAACATCCCAGCTGGTGCCCTGGTCAGCATCCCAGGGGGCAGCCCCCGCGGCCCCAGTCCCCTGGGATCTCAGCAGAAGCTGCACCGGCACCTGGGGTGCTCCTGCCCACGTTTTGTAACCTGTCCATAAGGCAGTGCTGCTTTTTCTATCCTCACCCAAGGACATTTTAAAAATTGATTTTAGAGAGAGGAAGGGAGCGGGAGAGAGAGAGATTGATCAGTTATTTCCCGTACGCACCTCGACTGGGGGTCAAAACTGCAACCTGGTTATGTGCCCTGACAGCGGGAGAGAGAGAGATTGATCAGTTATTTCCCGTACGCGCCTCGACTGGGGGCAACCTGGTTATGTGCCCTGACAATTGAACCCACAATCTTTTTGGCATCCAGGACGATGGACACGCCAACCAACTGAGCCACCCGGCCAGGGCACTGGTATTCATAGCAGACCAAGACCTGTCTCTAAGGCCTCTCTGCCCCACGGGCCCACACCCGACACCGAGCTTCTGGGCCCAGACCCAGAGCTGGGCTCCCTTCCAAAGTTCCCTTAAAGCTGCACCTGAGAGACGCAGACGCCTCTGAGGATGGCCTGCCGGGGTTCCCTGCCTCCCTCAGGAAAAGGGACCTCGTTCCGGGAAGCGGGACCTCGTTCCGGGAAGCATCTCAGGGTCTGGGTGCCTGGGGAGGCCCAGGAGACCAGCCTTTGAGGCGGATTGGCACAATGGAAAGTCAGATCTGGGGTGATCTTCCCCACCACCTAGTTTTGTGTCCTCGGACAGGTCACTTAACCTCCCTGGGCCTCAGACTTCAGGTCCTTAAAGGCTCAGATAAAACTTACCATAACAATAACAGCAGCTAACATTACAGTGGCAGGCACTGGGCCAGAAGTTTCTATGGACTGCCTCCTTCAGTCCTCATCACCACCCTATAAGGAATGGACTCATCAGCCCATTTTACAGATGAGGAAACCAGAGTCCTGGCAGGCCAAGTGACTTTCCAAAGGTCACACACTGGAGCCACCTATTGGTTTGGGTGGAGTTTGGGAGCTGAGGCACAGGAAGTGCTGGGTGCCGTGTCAGTAACCAGCCTGTCAGTAACCAGCCGTGCTAATGCCAGCCTGGAGGGGTGCGGGGGGGAGCCCTCACCTCCAGCTTGGCCTCCTGCTCCCGGTGGGGGAAGTCCAAGGTGGGTGTCCCTTACCTGGCACCCTTTATCCCTAAGGCAGGCCCCGCCCTTGCAAATTTGCAGGAGGACAAGCCTGTTTGGGAGGCCCAGCCCAAATGTGAGAGCAATTTGGAACTGAAACTTGTTCCCCTCCCCCCTCTGGCCCAGAATGTCTCCCCTTTTCCCTTCCCGGGGAAGTGAGGGTGTGCCCTTCTCCGCAGGGAGAGTGCCAGGCCAGGCAGCGCCCCCAGCCCACAGCTGCTGACTCACTCCAGCGGGGTGTGGGGGCCTAGAGGGCAGTGCCTCCCGCTTGGGCGGGTGTGGGCTGTGTGCACTATATGACAAGGTCACCTCCTCTCTCTTCTGGCTCTGGGACCAGAGGGGGCTGGGGGCGCTGACCAAGGAGCAGATTCACAGGCTCAGAGCCCTCCTGGGACAAGGCCAGTGACCCAGTGTGTTCCGGGGCCTCTTGGAAATGGCCCTGCCCCCTTCCCTGGGAGAGTGTTGGAGAGACAGCCTCCCCCCTACCCTCTTGCCTGGGAAGTTTTCCCAGCCTCTCTGAGCTTCAACAAAAGGCTCTCTGTGCCCTGTTTACCCGCTGCCCTGCCTGCTGCCACTGCTCAGGTGTGGAAGCCAAATCTCTGTAGGCTGCAGGGGGCTGGAGCTTGCTGGGTGGTCTTACTCCGGGACTGAGGGGGCAGCGTGCCATTTCTTTGACTCCTCTTCTGTCCATAAGAAGCTTAAGGAGGAAATCAACAACGGGGACCAGGCTTAATACCCAAGGGGTGGTCCTGGGAGCCTCTAGGTGTCTGGTCTGGCCTGTAGGTATTTGTGTTTTCAGCTCAGCCCTCACCTGGGTGTTCACACGCACACACACACACACACACACACCGAATCCGGGGCGGTTTTCTGCCCTGGCAGCTGGGTGTGGTAACTATAGCGTGCCTTCCTCTGTGTCAGACTTGGGTTCACACAATATGCATCGTCTTATGTGTCATCCTCACAATAAGCCTCTGAGGCAGGGACTGTAACAGTTCCCTCTTACAGTTGAGGACACAGCCTCAGAGGGGAAAAGCCGTGGGTCTGAGCTCACCCACCCTGAGACTCGCTTCCCCCAGTGAGGACTGTGCCTGGTGAGTGCCTGCTCCCTGGGTGGGGCCGGCAGGAACGCCTGGCCTTTTTCTAATGCAGTGGATGGCAGGTACTTCTCGTAAACTTTTACGATCCTCAGAAACCACACAGTGAGGAAGGCCTTTGGCTTTTTCCCAAGTATTTTTTCCTCCTTATAAAAGTACCAGATTTGCCTGGCACGGTGTGCCTCTGTGGTTGAGCATCGGCCTATGAACTGGGAAGTCACGGTTTGATTCCTGGTCAGGGCACATGCCTGGGTTGTGGGCTCGATCCCCAGTGAGGGTTATACAGGAGGCAGCTGATCAGTGATTCTCGCCATGGATATTTCTCTCTCCCTCTCCCTTCCACTCTGAAATCAATAAAAAACATTTTTAAAAATAAAATAAATAATTTGCCTGGGGTTATGGAATTGTTTCATGGTAGGGCTGGATTTGAACCTGGGTCTCCCCAACTCCAAAGCTCTTGCTCTTTGCACTCCTGAGATCAGCTGGCCGCCCAGGGGAGAGTGGGGCCCCTCCGGGTTGCTTCTCTGACTCACAGGAGCAGGGATGCTGCAGCCTGGCTGCA